TGCATAGAGCAGCAGGGAAAACCACCTGTGGGAAAAAACTTTGTTTTAGATCTTGAAGGATGTGTGGGGTTTGCCAAGCCAAAGAAGGGCAAGAGGGGCACTCCAGGCAGAGAGAGAGGTTTGAGCAAAAGCCAGAAAGAAAGGAACCATTCACAAATTTGCACATCGGGATCTCTAAGCTCCCTTCCAAATGTTGGCACAATGCTAGCATCTTCAGAAATGGGTCACCTGCTATTACGCCAGGAAGGCTGTAGCCAAGGATTGTTATAATGGGCTTGTTCAGAGGCCGCATGCTAGATCTATGTTAACAGGCCTGAGCAAAATCCCTATTGATACTGGCCCAGTGATCTCTAACCCCCGCTGCTATGCATGTTGGAAAGGCAGCAGGGCTAATTCCCTACCCTATTTTGCAAATGGCAAACATGGAGTCCATAAAGGTCCACTGACTCTTCCAAGGTTCCCTGACATATCAAGGCAGAGTCAGGATCCAAGATGGAGGAATGCTGCCTGGAGAAGATGCCATCTCAGAACACAAAGCATCCTTGCAGATGCCCTGCCCTGCCTCAAGCTCCCTGCCTCCCACCCCTGGAGAAGGGAATTCCCCACATTCTGCCTTGGGCCAGTCTCTGCAGTACTACCAGCCACCCCCATCCCACTGACAGATATACAAACATGCCAGAGAGATGGGAACTGGGACTCAGTTGGTTAAACACTGTCTCCCACCCCCAAACTCAGATCAGGAACGATCTAAATTCAGCAGAAGATGGCAGAAAAGTCTTAGAAAGGGAATATTTAAAAGTTCTGGTTCCACGTCTCCAGAAGGAAGGTGCAAGCTGGGCATCTCTGGTCATAGCTATCACTAGGAGTTGGAGCCAAAATCCTTGACTCCTCTCTGGCCTTTCACAGAGCAGCTGCCATCTGGGAGGCGGGACAAGGAGCTGGAGGATGACCCATTTAGATAATGAAGGAGAGGCTGGGCTGGGCTGTCGTGGGCTGGGCAGAGTGGGGACGGGCCTGTGGGGTAGGGGGCTCAGCATCACACTAAGCCTGCCAGAGAACCAGGCAGGGAGAGGAATGGGCTCCCGGAATAAGGGGAATGTGAGTCCCCTCAATCCCATGCTGTGCCCACCCCTTCTTGCCACCCTCCTGCCCACTCTGCCAGATTGCTGGGCAAGGTGCTTCCCTGCCCAGCCCTCTTGTGTGGTTTGGCCAGAGCCCAAGGACAAGTGTTGCCTGCAGCCGGAGCCTCCTTCCCTGCTACTGAGCAAGCAGGTGCAGGAGGAGCTGGGAGGGCAGCATTATGAAGAAGAGGCCTTTGGCAGCTGGCTAAGTAGGAACCCTTCTCTGGAGCAGGGGCTGAAGGGGATACTAGGACTTTGAACAAAGCAGAGACCAAAGTGGTTAGGCTTAAGGAAGCTGAGCAAACCCATTTTCTGCTCAGGGCAGGACAGTCCCAGGATGGGTACCTCCACTCCAGGACAGGGTCGAAGCCAGCCTTGCTGGGATAACAACACTGTGGGTATCAGCTACTATGCTCAACACTTTACATATATTATCTTATTTAATCCTATGAGAACACCGTAAAATAGGAATTATTATAATCCACACTTTATGGATGAGGAAACTGAGATACAGAGAGGTCACACAGCTGGTAAACAATAGAGCCGGGATTTGAATGCTTGCAGTCTGACTGCACTAAGCAGCCTTCCTGACGAGGTAAAAACCAGGAATGTAGTATAGGTCAGCCACCCAGGATCCCTCAACAGAGGCAGTGTGTGCGGGGGTGGGAGTTGGTTCTCAGTGACTCCTCCGCTCTCGGCACTGCCTGGAGCTCTGGGAAAGGCAGCTAGCCTCTGAACAAGCCCATTATAACAGAGTTGGAATGACAATGCACTGGGACAAGCCTGGGCTCGACTCAAGGCCAGCTCCCAGACCAAGACTCAGTATTGGTCATCTAGGACTGGGGTGGTCAAATCAGGGGCCTATGTTGCAGGTGTGCCACTAATCAGCCACAGAATAAGTCACTTCCCCTCCCTGGGCCTCCATTTCCCCATATGTCAATGAAGGAATAGGACCATCTCAGTCATTTTCAAACAGTTTGAAATCCCATGTAGCCATCTAATACATAAAAGAGACAGAAGCACCCCTGCTCTAGATTACAATCCTCTTGGGCCCCCTTCATGTTCCTCATGGCACCCCTTGAAGGTGACTTCCATGTGGATCATCCCAAAGGTCTTGGTGGACTCCACCATTCCCAGGCCCCAGCAGGTGTTTTTCTCTTTAGGGGGAGGGGTAGTCAGGGAGCTGGAAGAGTCACAGGAGGAAATGTCATTTGGATACCAGGAATGTACTTGGAGACTAGAAAATCCAGAGCAAATATTTGTTTTCCCTTTGATGCCCTCCTGGAGTAGCCATTAGCACTGCCCACCTGCCCTTCCCTCCAGACAATCCCATCTGGCCTTTGATAATCTCATCTAGCCAGGCAGGGAATGGGAAATGTGCTAGAAAAGTGGAGAGAAAATTGGGATGGGAGTCACCCAGCAGGCCTTCCTCCGAATTTAGCCCCCACCAACAATCTCAGCTCATTTTGAGGGAGGTCTTGGATGGCTCCCAGGCCCTTCTCTCCCACTGAGGCACCAGGTCAGTCTCTCTTCCGGGAGGACAGTGAAGAGGCAGGAATGAGGGTGGGGTGGGGAAGAGGACTCCTCTCCAGAAATGAGAAATCATGAGCACAGCAGGTAGCTGCTCTTCAAGGGGGAAGAAGACCCCCGAGCGAGTTTCTAGCAGAAGCACAGGGTGGTCGATGGATCAGGGAAGTTCAGAAGGGGTCCCATTCCTACTGATCTTGGCTCCCTGCATACAACAAAAGGCATGAGGCCAGGGAGTGCCTTCTGAATTCTCTCTGTTCTGATGTAACAAGAGCTGGAATCTCTGCCCACAGCCACTGAGGTTTGAAAACTGAAAGCTGGTTTATCTCATTCCAGAATCAATGTGATCTCTCTCTCTCTCTTTCTCCTGCTGGCACGAACACACACATGCAGTGACCCAGGTCAAGAGCCCGATGGGAACTCTAAACTCCCATCTCAGTTTCCTCAGTTTCTGGGTCCCCCAGTCCTCCCAACCCAATGTGCCCCACAACAAGAGGCAGGAGCCATGAGCAGCTATTTTCCAGCTAAGCCCCTGACAAAGTCTGGGCCCAGCAGTCTTGAGCCTGGAGCCCCACCAGGTTTCACACTTTACAGAAAGAGAAAGAAAAAGAAAGCCAGGAAGTATATGATTGCCCAATAGCTGTAACCTGGCAGCAGGCAACTGCGGGCCATGCCAGGCATTAGCAGGAAAAACATCCTCGGTCCTATTGACGGGCCATAAATCCACCTCCTTTCTCCAGCATCCACTCTCCTTTGCCAATGAAATGACTTCCTGAATTCAAACCAGCTACTGGCTGTGAAAGCAAACAATCTGGGGAGGCGACTGCAGCCATAACCAAGAGGGCAAACCATAGCCACACACATGCGTGTCTCATAACCAGCACTCAACTGGATTTGGCAAAACAATCCCCAGACCACGTGCCCTGACGGGCTTGTTAAAATACAGAGTATTTGCCCCATTCTAGACCTTCAAAATAAAATCCTCTGGGTGTGGAACCAGAGAATAAGTATTTTAAACAAGCACCCCAGGTGATTCCTATGCACATTAAACTCAAGTTTGAGAACTACTGCTACCTAACATTTGGCAAACTTGCCATCCTTTCAGGACTGGCCTTTCCAGATACTGATATCAGTTCTCACTGTGGGTTCTACATGTCAGGAACAATTTAAATTCACATTTGCATCTCATTCAATCCTCATAGCCTGTGTGGGAGGCCTTGTTTTCTCCATTTTTGCAGAAGGGGAAACAGTACAGAGATAAACTGCTCAAAGTCCCACAGACTACTACTCCCCATACACACACACCAAAAGCTTCCTAAAACAGCCCCAAAGCCAAAGGTATCTTGGGGCACAGTGGACCTTGCACCAGGGCCTGGTTTCACATTTCCCAGAATAGAAAGCCCATCATAATGAAACTTCCACTCACTCTGAAAGCTGGAAAGGACCTAAGTGTCAGTCCCGCTCCTACCACTACCCCCGTGTAGATCTCCGTAGTATGCTGGAGAACCGGACAGCTCATTCATTTTCTCTCTCCCTCTCTCTCCTCTCTCTCCCTCTCTCTCCCTCTCTCTCCCTCTTTTCTCTCTCCCTCTCTCTCCTTCTCTCTCCCTCTCTCTCTCTCTCTCCCCCCCCACACCACACACACACTAAAACCCTATTATGATCAGGTGCCTTCTACTTTCTCTTTCCATTTCACTCTATTGGATAGTCTGTTCCAAGCAAAATCCAACTTAAGTCTCATCTTCTTTAGAAGGCCTCATCCCAAGACAGGACACTATTCGTCTCCTTAGGCACCCTAAAACAACTGCCCGACCCCCTCACTTATTGGCCATCATCACATACCGTCGGTGTTGTTGGGAGTCTCAGGTCCACGACCATTGTCCCTACAATCATGGACAGACATATCTGCAATGCCCCCGCGATGCAACTTCAACATGGTAAAGACTGAATGGGGCCACTCCCCGGAGCAAGGCACTAGCCCCCGGCCCAACCTCCGCCGGCCCAGCCTCAAGCCGCCAGCCGGGCCCGGCCCTCGAGAGGGAACTGCACTCACCAGGCGCCCCGAGCTCTCTCGCGCCTTCTTCACTTTGCCATAGGTGCCCTTGCCCAGGGTCTCCAGGAACTCGTAGCGGTGCCGCAGGTTGTGCTTGTGGTGGTGCCGCTTTACCGCCTGCTTCTTCATCAGGGGCTTGGGAGACTTGAGCCCGTCGGGCAGGGCCGCGGCGGCCGAGGGAGCCGGGCCGGGATACCGGGGGAAAGCCAAGGACTCCATCGCGAGCTGCAGCAAGGGCTGAAGGGGGACCCGCTGCGGGGGTAGAGCTAGATCCGGGACACACGCCCCGCGGCCAGCACGGGAACTCTCAGCCGCCCCCGAGCGCGCCCAGGCGCCGCATTCCAACTTGCTATAAACGCTCGGAGTTGGAGGTACTGGCCACGCCCCCCAGCGCCCATTGGTCCGCTCGCCGGCTACGCGTGACCGGGGCCGCCCGCATTGGTCCACTCAAGGCTCCGGCCCCGCTTCCTCCCCTCCGCGTGGCTGGAAAAGATGTCAATGGGGCCACGCCTACCTGAGCCTCCCGCCCCCTCCACCCACTCCTCCTAGACAGGCAGAGAGAGTAAGGGATTGGTACTTTTGGGGTCTGAAACCTTTGAGGGGCCCTGGAACTGCACTTGCCTCTGAGTGGCTCTTGGTCTTGGTTGGAGCCACCTGTTGGCCTTCTATGGTGCTGTGTTCTCAGTTAGCACTCCGACAGCTACTAGAGGCCACCAAAATATTTCTCCATCCTGAGTAATTTGCTTCTCTCCAGCCAAAATCAGTAAGTACTTCTTTAAGACTATAGCGGGAGAAAGGGATGGAATGAGATGGAGGCGGACTCCAGCTAAGTGGGAGAAGTGGTGGAGAGCTGTTCCAGGGTTCTGAGTTCATCTGCCTTCAGTTAGATCAACGCTAAATGAATCCCAGAAATTCAGTTCTGGAAAGTTCTTACCTCTTCATCAAAGAAGGCTTCTAGGGTTGAGTGAGTCCCTCAACATGTGGTAGAATTTACGAAGTGTTAGAAGGAGATGGAGAGAACATTCATTCATTAAAAATGTACACTCCTACTATTTAACTCGTAACCCTAAATGTGTAAATAGCTGCCCACCCAAAGTATTCCTCTCTGTGATTTTGGAGTCAGGAGAACTGGTGGTAAGTTATGAGGTTTGGCTCGGTTTTTAAGATCTGGAGCACTAGGTCCAGAATCCCCATGCTGAATGTCACTTAGAGTGAAATGAGAATATCCATAGGCTCTTCTCTTCCCTCTAAAATGTGGACTGTAATGGGGAGAAAGAAACATTTCCCCTTGATTCTTCATGATAACTCAGTCTTGTAAAGTGGGTATTATTCTGCCCAAGACCGCACAACTGTTGGGGCATAGCTGAGATTCAGACCACCAGGAGAATGGTGCCTCCAGCTGTGTACTCCGGGCATGCTGAGGGTCAAGAAGGACAAGATCCCCAGTGACTGAATTTTGTATTTAGTGTCTGCCCACTTTTCTATTTCTACTGGTGCTTTGATCCTTTCTAGTGTGAGTTAGGGGTAGAGAATGGGGACCTTTGTCCTTTTGTGGCTGGAGAGGATCCACTTATACAGGAAATCAACCCCCTTCCCCAAATCTGGAGGGCTACGGGGGGGTGGCAGCCAGTTTGGCATTCTTCCCTCTGACTGCCTCCTCTCTTGCTTGGGTTGCCTGCAAAAATAGATGATGGTTCCCCTGACCTGCTGTTTCCTTTCTCCCTTAAGATCGGCATCTATTCCTGGGAGCCCACCTAGCTGGGACCATCAGGATGGATTAGAGCTCTCAAGAAGAAGCGTGGGTATTATAAGAGCAAGCACAGGGCTCAGTGTTGGGAAACCTGAGTTTAGTACTGACTGATACCAAATAGTTCTGGGGCTTTTACCAATCCCTTATTCATTCTATAGATACTGGTGTCCACTATGTGCTGGGCCTAGGGATATGATGGTGACAAGACGGACATAGTCTTTGCTCTGAGAGAATTCTCAGCCTAGTGAGAAATAACAAGCAAATCCTAGACAAAGAAAGATGTGTCCATGATGGGGGAAAACAGAATGCCCTTGGGGTGTATAACAGGAAGGAACCCCTAACCCATACAGGAAGAAGTTGGTCAGGGGCAGATTCCTGGAGACAGGGCCTTTTAAGCTGAGACCCGAAGGATGTGAGACAGTGAGCTATATGAATCATTTCCTCATAAGTAAGATGGAAGAATCATACAGATGAACCTAAGGTTCCCTTTCAGGCTTAATCTAGAGTCTTATGAATGCTTTCAGGTGTCCCCAACACCTAATGCACTACTAGGCACAAAAAAGGCACTCAATAGGTGCTAGGAACCAAAGGAATATGAGTGAAATGGAATTCAAAGGCTAAAGTGAAAACATCTACAGATGACCAATTTCCCTCCATTATATTATCAGATAAACTGGTGATGGCAATGGGGGTTAGATCAACTGTTACCCTTGCATCTTTCCTAATCCCACTTCAGCTTCCTTTGACCAGAATGTGGATCCCTATTTAAGGGGCAAGGCATGGATGACTAAACACCCCAGAGAAAAGAGATCTCCCCTGTTTTAACCAAAGCTCTTGTGGGACTGCAGAAAAGGGCTTTAGTGAAGAGTGGACCTGGCTGCTATCTGTCCACAGCAGACAGGCGAGGGAGGCAGACACACTCGGAAATGATCTTAACTAATGAAACTCAACTCAAATTCCTTAAAGGGAGACTGAATGCCTGATAGGGAGCCTAATTATGTCAGGTGACTGCTGCCAGCAGATCCTGGGGGAATTCCTGGGTCACGTGTTCCCGATGTGCCGGGAATCTGGACTGAGCTATTTCAGTCCTGCCTGCCCCACCATCCAGTCCTGGGAAGAGGAAGGCTACTCCCCACCTTCCACTCCCACCCCCACGTGCGATCACTGATCGATGTCTGAAGGGCTGTGAGGATTAACTATCTGTTTGGCCTATGAGATGCCACACTATGAAAACAATTAGGAACAAGTGTCCGTCCCAGTTTTTATACATGTCACAATCTGTGTGTGTCTGTGTGGGTCCTGACGGTAAGGGGATGTTGGAATGCGGCTCTGAGTAAGGA